CCTTGCACTCAGACTAGTCAGAGCTTGAGTCAAACTGAATTTACAAATTCACAGACAAATCTTTAGTAAAAGTAATTATTAAAAATATCTTCTTTTTTTGTACAATGAACTTTTTTACGTTTACTAAAACTTGCTAAATTTCTTGATGATAAACTGAGTAAGTTTGGAATAAGAGTCAACATTAATTCTCCAATACAGAAAACATCATTACTGAAATGTGCCTAGAACAGCGTATTTTGTACTCTTGAGAGCTGGTGTGGCAGATTACATAATAAAGTCAAAGAAATGAAAGCATAGTACAATAAAAATAACTAAAAAACTGAAATTATTAAAATGAATTGAAATGAACAATTATAATAATAAAAGAGCTTGTATCTTTATGTGTGTGTGACCGCCATAGCTCCAAGAGGAAAGAACCTTTGCACACATACTAAGGGGATTCCAAGGGAGTGCACGTGGGTATTATTTTTTAGATTTTACTAAAATAAATGTTTGCCAGTTTTATGCCCCATAATTCTGCTTACTGAAGGTCGATAGAAAAGTATATTTTTTTCTTTCTAATTTTCACTTACTGAATAAACAATATGTGGAGGTTTTCTGCCAAATACTCTTTTTCAACAAAAACATGGGGAAAATTACAAATCTGAGTACTTAAAAAAAAAGAAAAAGTTGAATTAAACTAAGTTTGGGAAACGGCAACAAACAACGAGAAGAAAAATATGAAGCAGAGAATATTAAAGAATTCAAATAAAAACACAGAAAGAAATAAAACGAATCTGAGAAACTAAATTAAAACTATTTACTTTTCAAGAGTTGAATTGAATTAAGTTCAGGAAATGGCAACAGAAAAACCAGTAAAAGAATTGACGCATTGGAGTAGCTATAGAAGTCATTAAGATAATGGAGACACTTGACTGTACATTGAGACCTTTGAGAATCATAAGGGACCTAAGAATTCCGCAGCAGAGCGTGGGTATTTTATGCTAGTATAACAATAACAAAAGAAATTATTGTATTAGTGGTTGAGTTTATTATTGGTTGTACTAATTATAAGAAATAATACAATTTGTTATGTTTGCGAGTGGTTGTAGTAATGTATATATATATTATATAACTGGTAAGATTACTACTACAGTTTACCGAAAACCTACACACATCTTCCCATCCATCAACAATTAGGTCATGAATTCTGAAGTGTCTCATAACAAGAGCGAAACATGTATGTGGTCAAGATCACCTGAAGACCGAACATACTAAAATTTACAACCTTAAACAACAACTATCCAGATCCTCTCGTTCAATAATTAATAAACCAAAGGAAAACATCATGTGAGCAATAAAACAACTTGTTCAACGTTTGGTTTGTACACTTCCATATGTTTCAGGACTCAGCGAAAGACTCCTACATGTGTTTAAAAACCTTGAAGTAACACATTTACGAATCTATGATTTTTTTCTACGAATGTCAAAACGTGAACGCCACCTATCTACATGTCAAAAGAATATAGTGTACAAGGTAACTTGTTGTATAACTAAATTGATGGTGCAACAGATCGATGTAAGGAGCATATAAGATCTTCTTCGTTATGTATTATCTGGAATATCTCAACACTGCCTTGATTGTGACCAACAACAAATTCAATGGAGATACTTGAAAAACAAACTCAAAGAGGCTATTTATATCCAAAAAAACTCACAATGTGGACCGAGAAAAGGACTGAACAGAGATTGTGGATTAGATATAAGCCCTATATGGAATTATATATTTTAAAATCACTTTAGGTGTTTCTTAGTTTCGACTTTATCAATGCTAATATTATTAATATACGTTATAACTGAGATTATTTTATGATCTTAATATATCCCTAAAGTTCTTATTTTTGGACGCCATATACAATTCGTTTTTTATTATTACATGTCAATTTCATTTCTTTCTTTTTTAAATTTTAGTTTTTAGCTATTTATTATTTTATTACGTTTTTCATTTCTTTGGCTCTGTCACGTACTCTGCCGCAGTACCTCTCAACAATACAATACATACTTCTAGGCACATTTTAGTGTTTGTAGGATTCAATATGAAACCTTCTACGTCATTCATGGATTATTCCTTTTCAATGTGTAGCTTTGTGCTTAGCAACGACCAAATCCAAGTATATTAACATTTTAGGATTGTAGGCTTCACATTTCAATAGTGAGTTTGTATACCTTTGTAGATTTTCTTGAAAAAAAAGAGTCGAAAGTTAACTCGTATTAAATAAACTCTTCAATACTCCAACATGGTGTATACTCGTTTTTTAAATATTTGATGTTGTGTATAACTGATTATGTTTATTGTTCGTTATAATAATATCAATAAACTGTATTTCTTGATATGTTTATTGCTGGTTATGGTGTTGTTAATATACTGAATCAATGGTTATGGTAATATTAATATATTGTATTATTGATTATGTTTATTTTTGGGTATAGTAATGTTAATATGCTGTATAACTCATTATGTTTATGTGGGGTAATATTATTGTACAATATACCTGGTTATGTTTATTGTTGGATGTAATAATGTTGATAAAATTCCATTTTAATGGCCACGGAAAATTAAACATTGTGCTGCAAAACTACCGAATGCAGTTTTATAATTTTATGTTCATTAACACCTTCCGTTTGCGAATGTGTTTCTTCAGTGTGACATAAACCTTGCCATGGACCATGTACAGAACTGCTACTTTCTCACGGCTTACTTACGCCTATATGTACATTGGATTTCAGAACCCCTTGCCCCCTGAAAAAATCCTGGCGACACCCTTGCATTCTACAGAGGTACATTACGTTATATTAAATGATTTCCGAGCCTAACAAGATCGTTACATTACTATATCTGGTCGTATTCTATCTGACGCCTGTGCATATTAACAATAGCCCTTCAGCGTTGTTTCCATTTAAAAAAAAAGGCTTCGTCGTAATGCTATCATATAAAAAGCAAACCACAACTTACACTTTTTATATACTACACTAAATGTACGAGTCAATCACATAGAAATCCGATGGCATCGCATCGGGCGACATGGCTAATATGTATTCACAGGAAATAGTATGAAAACTCGTTGCATTTTGATAATCTATAATTTTGTTTCTTGAGATATGCAATGGTTGATGGGATATGTTGTGGAAACAACTCGTGTATACGTAAGTTGTGTCGTTTTCCCAGACAGAGATCCTTCTTGATTATGTTGTGTACTATTGGATATGGACGGTGTTTACTACTGATCTTTATGTTTTTAGCTTCTAGCCTGTTACAAGATGCTGCACTTTGTTGAACATGGCTGGGGTACGACTTGTTAAAGGTCTCTTTCTGACTAGTCTTGATAACCCAAGCTGATCCATATTTCTTTGCTTTCCAAAGCCATTAAAAAGTATAAAGGATAACACCGTCATGCAATGTCTGAATACCCGAACCGAACACGTCTTTATGATCTGAGTGTATGAAAATTTTGTGTCGAAAAGATCTGTTATATACTCAAAACCGATGAATTTTCGGTGGCGTCACACAACCTACGAATGGCAAATAAAATCAAAATGCAGTTGTGATACATTTTATTTCACCACTACTTTCTATCGGTTGTGGTTTTCACGTGACTTCCTGACTTAAATATTTAAAATCGTTTTAGTATTAGGTATTCAACCCTCTGTATACATCATTGTGTTTATTGTTAGAGAAAAGTTGATATACTGTGTAACTGGCTATGTCTATTGCTCCTCATAGTAATTTTAATGTATTGTGTAACTGATTCTCTTTATCGTTATTTATAGAAGTGTTAATATACTGTGTAACTAGTTATGCTCATTGTTGGTTATAGTAATGTTAATATACTATATAACAGGTTATGTTTATTGTTCCTTATAGCTTTGTCAACATACTGTGTAACTAATCATGTTGATATCTGGTTATGGTAATGTTAATTTATTGTATACTGATTTTTGTAGTAATGTTAACAAACTGTATAACCAGTTATATTTATTGTTTTAGTAGTAGTGTTGATATACTGCATAGTTGGTTGCAGTAATCTTAATGTACTCTATGACTGGTTACGCACGTGTGTTGTGGGATAGAGTAATGTTAATGTACTGCGTAACTGGTTACTTATATTGTTGAATACAGTAATGTTCATATATCGTATAGCTGGTTTTGTAGCCCTTGAGAAAGGCGAAAGCGGAAACGTCGGATTTGAATAAAATCATTTTTGTTTTGTATTTTATGGAGTGTAATTATTCAGTTTTTTGGAAACAAAGTCTATAAATGGTTATGTTTATTTTTGGTTAGAATAACCGATTATATATATATTGTTAGATATGGTAATTTAAACGTCCTGTCTACCTGATTATGTTGATTGTTTGTTATGCTAATGTTAATATATAATTGCTTATATTTATTGTAATAATGATAGTAAAGTGTATTACGATATTAGACTTTAATTGATTACTTAAAAAATATTTAGTTTTGTGCTGTGCAGTTCTTGCCCGTTATTACATTAATATTTAGTTATGCTGTTCTTCTAGAATTCATGACAGTTATTTGAGATTTTTCCAGTTTTATACATTGTTCAAGCTTTGGTTTCCCAAAGGCCGTCTGGAGGGATCACCTGTTTTAACCATTCGCACCAATATACAGCAAAGTGTTGTCTGTCAATCATTCAGTAGACACTAAAATGACGTCACGTAAAGGACGCTTAACGTTGCAATTTGTACTATCCTGACCTCGGTAAAACGTGCGCATGCCATGAATCACGAGAATAATTATGCATTCTGTACGCTACAACATAGTATGACATATGAGCTTGAAAAGCAAGAAATAAAAATACTTGTAGCTCTTAATTTTGTTTTTATTTACTTTTGAAACAGAACACTTTCGGGGACCCTGCAGAAATACGTCTAGTATATTTCTAATCTCTTGACTTCTCATACTTACATTTCACGGATAATATTACAGTCTTTTTTTTTTTTAGTGTGTGTGACCTCACTACAACCTTCTTTGTTCTCAGAGTCTTGCGTGTTCAAGTGTTCTTCCAACGAGTGCCTGCGGAGCTTGACGCTGGTGTGTAACGGTGTATCAGATTGCTTGAACGGGAGCGATGAGAATGGTTGTCCAGTTAATCTCCTCGAGACGCCAACACCTAACGCGTTTGCCAGCCTGCCTGGTGCTAGTGAAGGTGAGTTTCTTGGTGAAGTCATTTGATATTTAATTATTTCTACAAGATTAAAAGCGTTACGCTATAAAATGCTTACGCCTCTCTCTCTTTCTATTTAATTTTTTTTATATCGGTGGAAAATAGAAACACTCACACAGTGCTGTAACTCTGATTCCTGAAAAGGGGTGAGGGGGAGGAGTTTCTGTAGTTGGGGCATAAGGATTATTGCATCTAAAATAAAAATTTCACGACTCCTATAGTGACTAGTGACTATACAAGTTTTAGTACTACTGCATTGTGAGGACATATCTTCGTCATCGAGAAAGTGAAGTTGGCATGTTCCTTGCGTTTCTTTATAAATTACGACTATGCTCTCATATCATTTAACGCGAAACAAACGGTTCTGTAAAGTAGCTAAATAAAGATCTAAGTTCACGAAAGGCACTCACTGATAATGTGAACAAATGGTTACGTAAAGCAGTTCAAAGAAAGTTATTCACTGATAACGTGAACAACTTGTTTAAAATACCTAAACACTTCTAGGTTTAAGGAAAGTCATTCACTGGTAGTGTGAATAAACTGTTGTGTCAAGCACCTATATAACTCTAGGTTTAAGGAAAGTCATTCACTGATAACGTGAATAAATTGTGTAAAATACCTAAACACTTCTAGGTTTAAGGAAAGTCATTCACTGGTAATGTGAACAAACTGTTGTGTAAAGCACCTATATAACTCTAGGTTTAAGGAAAGTAATTCACTGGTAATGTGAATAAACTGTTGTGTAAAGTACCTACACAACTCTAGGTTTAAGGAAAGTCATTCACTGGTAATGTGAACAAACTGTTGTGTAAAGCAGCCAGATGCAGATCTAAGTTCGAGAAAAGTAGTTCACTGAGAACGTGAACAAATTGTGTAAAATACCTAAACACTTCTAGGTTTAAGGAAAGTCATTCACTGGTAATGTGAACAAACCGTTGTGTAAAGCACCTATATAACTCTAGGTTTAAGGAAAGTCATTAACTAGTGATATGAACACATTGTTGTGTAAAATACATATACAACTCTAGATGTAAGGAAAGTCATTCACTAGTAATGTGGACAGACTGTTGTAAAATATCTAAACACTTCTAAGTTTAAGGAAAGTCTCATTGATAACATGAACTAACGGTTACAGTTCGTGCAAGATTTTGAGATGTTTCATATAGTAAATATTTTATACATATACAGTTTTCGAAATTTCTCCACGTTATTATTCACATAATATAAAGCCTAACATGAGGTCGAATAAAATAATGATTTTTCTTTCAAATATGGTTGTAAGCCAACTAGTATAACTTGTCACATTTCACTATCTCGAGGAGAAAGAACAGCGTAAGATAAGAACGTTTGGTCTATTTTGCTTGTGATATCCATTAGGTTAAATGTTAGGCTATAATACCCCGTTTCTAAGCTAAACAAAATGAATAAATGAGCTAGTATTTGAACATGCGCGTTTTTTAAATGTGAAACAACTGGTGGAGTTCCAAAATGTCTGAGCCTGGCGTGGTCTAGTGGTTAGCGTGTAAGGCGGAGGATATAATGTTCCAGGGTTCGAGATATTATGCCGCTGAACACGATCTGTACTCTCAGTCATGGGCGTATTTTAAAAGTAACATTCTAACCTGTTGTTCAGGTTAAAAAGCTGCGTAAAACACTTGAGGCGGCGGGTGCTGCTAGCATGATGCTTTGTCCTGGTTCATAATTAATACAAAATTAAGGACCGTTATATCTGAAATCTAGTATGTCTCTGGCCTGACGTTTTAACCCACGTGAGCGTAAGGTGCTGTTCTGGTTGAAAATTACAATCTCTATATAGTATTTCTTGTACAAACATACAAGATTTTGATAAAGCATGCACCATTATGGTATCTTCTTTGCAATAAATTGTAACTTGGATCAAATGATCTGGATCCGTTTAACAATTTTAAAAGAAACCAAAAAGGATAATTGATTAAAATTAATAATGACGGTAGTGGTTTGCTTGTCGGGCTGCGTAACGTAAGGTTTGGAGTTCGACAGTGAAGTTGCAGAATATGTCCTACATCCCCTACTGGGGGAGCGTTAGAAACAAAAGTGACTGTCAATCTCATTGCTGCGTCAAAGAACCAGACAAATCCCTTATGACGTAGGGTACAGCTAGCTAACTGCCTTTTATTTAGCCAGTAGTTCAAAATTAGATATGACTATACGTGTATTGTAAAGGTGTGTCTGATCTGGTCGTATAGCCCATGTACACGTATAGCTTGAAATTTCCAATTCCAAAGATTCCTGTAACATGACAGTCTATTACTCTTTTTCTTTGTCTTTCGATGGGTCAGTGTAAATTCCGGACTTACAATGCTAAAATCCTGAGTTCGATTCTCCCCGGTGGACTGAGTGCAGATAGCCTATCGTATAACATTGCACTAAAAACAATAACGAACAGCTGTTAGTGATCGAACTTTGGGTTGAATGTCTGCAGAGGGTTTAGCTGGCATAAAATTAAGTTGCAAAGGCGTTGCTAGGCGCTGGCACACGGGGCCCGTGCCTCGATTATATTTGACAGGGCCCCAAATCCCCAATTGGTGTCTTGAAAAATCAGAACAAAAACCATGATCGATATAATACTGAAACGCCGAAAATTTCCGCGCCTTTGGACTCGAGCCTCAAATCTTTTATGTACCTAGCGACGCTTCTGTTAAATTACAAAAGTTTTAAAATGCGATAAAAACTTGAAAGTTGCCCATTTGCAACGCGTTTTCACCTTAACAACAGCTTGGCATGGCTTGGTGGTTAGGACACTCGCAATCGGAGGGTCAAGAGTTCGATTCTCGTTACCGAATATGCTCGCCCTTTCACTCAAGTCCCTTACTTTTGGTAAAAGAGTAGCCCAAGAGTTTGCGGTGGGTGATGATAACTAGTTGCCTTTCCTCTAGTCTATCACTTGAAAATAGGGATGGCTAGCGCAGATTGCCCTCGAATAACTTTGTCCGAAATTCAAAACGAACAAACAAACAAGTAATGACAGCAGTGCCAGGTACTGCATGGTTTAAAAAGCTTTATTGGATTTAGTTGTCATGGTTGCATGTTCACGTTTGTTTTTTGTATCTCCTATCATATAATATTTGCTAACTAAAATTTGGCTTTTATTTTGTTAATAAACATTGAACTAGGATCATCTCATGCATTTCAAATTTATCTACAGTGCAGGAGAGATCACTCAACTGATGGCTATCGGAATGACCGTTATGTTGGTCGGTCATATGTAATTAAGGGTGAAATATTTGGAAAAACTTTCGTTTTTTATGACACCCAGAGATGTCAACTGAGGGTCTTATTCAGGCTCTTAGATATAATTAATGTCTTGACTCAAGTCGTGAATTACATCCAAACAGTCAAAAATAAATACCAGCAGGAACTCCGCAAAATTATTGATTGTCAGCATGAAAGTGCAAATGATACCTTTACCACTTTGACGCGACAACTACTTCTTAGATAAGTTTTCAAATCCTTCAGTTTATTTGTCTCAGTGTGAGGTGTTGTGTCTCTGTCACGTTTTAATTAGCTCCATGTGGTAACGAAGAGAGTTCACCTGCTATTCAAGTCTCAAAAAACATTTCATTGGACAAAAATCACTGAGATATATTTCGCTAACTATTAAAAAATAATAATAATTGTTTTATTTCTAAGTCCACGCTGTTCAAATGGAAGATGGCACGGCTCTCTGGCAATATATAGTTTTTAGATCTAAGGAATCTGCACCTTTCTAATGGCTTTTAATGAAGCTTCACCAAGGAAAAACGACACTGATTAGAAATATCTTTACATGTGGGTAGAGTAGCAAAACTTACAGAAAACTAGATAATATTTAGGGATTCTCTTCTATAAACTCGGAATTTGGGGAACTCTATTAGCATATGGGATATTGGTATTTCAATCCATAATTTTAAATTAATTAACAATAGTAACATCGTCGCTAGTGTTTCCATAAGGCGGCACATTGTCCTGGATGATAGGCCTTCGCTTTTCACGTCTGATATTTTGATTATGCTTTTAAACTGATGAACGGAGTGATAATTGGTTAGGGGCAGTTCGCCTGCCAAAAGTGGACGTGCGAGAAGCTTTACTCGAACTGTCTACTGACGGGGAAATAATTGCATTTAAGAAATTGTAACGTCCCCCCAGAAGGCGCTGAGCATTATTTTACGTATTTATTTACATATTTTTGGGATGCAAAAGTCGATTTTTGCGCATAATCAAAATGCTAGTAAGATCATTCGTACTTAGGTATGTCAGACGTTCATGAATCATTTAGCAAAATTGTATGTAATGGTGCCAAAATCTACATCGCATTGTAGCGTCCATTATTATACATAGTAAATTCTGTGTTTCTGAAGCCCTCCGCTAGTTACGTGCAAAAATCTAACTGCACATCGTACTTTTAGTACTACGTTAAAATATCTTCTGATACACTAAGACATGTTGCGTCTAAGAAGTCTGATAAACTCAACGGTTGTAGAAACTCACATCATGCAGACTTTCGTTATAGTGTTAGTGTAATAGTGTAAAGAAACAACCACAAAAAAACTGCCTTCTCGAAGCTTGTTAAACATTTAGCGCTGGTAATTGGAAATACGGTAAAATATGTACGTATACATTTCTGATGTAAGTAATATCTTTAACCACTTTATTATAAATTTCGAGACTCTCCAGAAATCATCAACGCAACCAACGAAGCATATGACACTATTACTTACGATTTTCCAGAGCAACGGACTTTCTCGTTAGTACCTAAATGTAATGAGTATCCATATGTTGCGCTTCTACAGTAAGACTACATCTAGATAAAACCCATTCACGGAATGAACAGTGGTATAAACACACGCGCCTAATCATTCACAA